ACGTCGTCGGGTGTTATGACGACGGGGTCCATGGGTGTAATGTCTGCACATTGGCTCGCCACGACTTGTGTCCAAGGGCCCTCACTGTGGTCTAGGGCTCTGACCACAGGCTGCGCCAGAAGGCGACAGTGTCTGCCTGGTCCGGTCCTTGGCCCGTTCCACAACTCATTGGTCGCTCCAAAGATTTGTAGAGCCTCTTTTGGTCACTCTGGAAGAGGCGATTCTGGCTAAACCGCGCCGTCCTCTCGGAATATCTCCGAATCCGCTTCCCCCAAGCAGCGATCCTCTGCTTCAGGTCATCTATGCGCTCCGTTAGTTTTTGCGTAATGTCCCGCTGGGCTACCTGGTCTGGTAGCACGTCCAGCCTTGGGAAGTTTGGCGCCAACGATTCGGCATACTGCCAGTGCAGCGCCAAAGAGAATTGAGTCCGTATCGCAAAGATCCCGGCTAGCTTCCAAATAGGTTGCCAGCATCGGGTTAAGAGACCTCACGACAGACCGACTCCGCTTACTTAGGGGTATGCGGGGGAGATGTGGTCGACTCTCGAGAGGCGTTTCGCGCACCTCCAGAATTGCCTCCTCCAATATGCTTCCCATCTGCTCTATTTCTTGGGCGACTATTCCATCATCGCACGATTCTACAGGAGCCGGGGGGTTAACCGCGGCCTCCGCATCTGCTTGTAACCCTGCAGGGTCCGCAGCTTGCGGGGCCGTATCCCCAGCCACTACATTTTCATCCGATGTGGGAACAGCCTCACGTCGTAGTCATTCGAGCTCGGTATCATCAAATATTTTTGAGCGCATGATGTACCGAACTCGATCTGCCAGGTTTTGCTCGGTGACGGTTATAGATGGCTCCAGCTCAGCAAAAAAGCGATGCATCCTTGCCCGATACGCAAACCCTCCAGTCTCACTCTCTTTCGCCCTAAGATACGCCCGCATTGCGTTCCTATTCATTTCTTCAGTCCAGCGCAAGCGGCGTATTCCACCAGCGGCGGGTGTCGATTGCTGGATCCGAGAGGATCCTGCCGACACCAAGCCAACTGCTGGGGATGATGGATGCGAGGTACTGCTTGGTGGTCGTGCAGTACCCTGCGCTCGGCTGGCGTCCCGCATGCTGCCACGTCCAGCGCCAGCTCCAGACGCGCCCTGGCGGCCCCCAGGCAGCGGCCCTATGCACTTTCCTTTCTTTTTTTCCATCATCCATTTTTAGGGCGTCGTTTAACGGAAGACGCCCCCAGACCGGCACCGTTTTCTGTAGTGTGGCCGAACGCACAGACGGGCCTATGCACCCTCACTTATGCCGAAGCACGGTGCAAACACCTATTGGCAAGGCACTGACTGATTGCGCCGGCGCAACAGTTCTGACACTTGAACTGTTACGCCGGTGGGCGATGGGGTCGTCACTTCCCTACGCCTATTTATTAATATTATTATGTGGTTCATTTATTTCTCTCAGGTATGACCTGGTGATATTAAGTTAACACGGGTTTTAACCAAGTGTTAACTTAAATTTGGGTGTTTGGTAACCTAAATTGTGGGGATGAATATTCGTTATCAGAGCTAAGTTGAAGAAATTTTCGAACGATGCGGCACGTGTTAAGTATGGCAGCTTTTTTTAAAGTTATGTATGTGTGTTTAGGTAGGTCTAGTAATTTAAGAGAGTTATGCAAGGCTTTAGGTATAACGCCCGTAGTGGATAAGATTATAGGTACTATAGAAACTCTGTCCAATTTCCAGACTCTTCTTATCTCTTCCTGTAATTCGGTGTATTTTCTTATTTTTTCGGTGATGGTTGCTTGTATGTTGTTTGTGTTTGGGACATGTCTATGATGTAAGCATGTTTACTTATTTTGTCTACGAGCGTGATGTCTGGGCGGTTATTGTGGATTGTGTGATCAGTAAGAATGGTGCGGTCAAAGTACAGTTTATGAGTTGGACTTTCCAGCACATGTTGAGGGTTGTATTTGTAGTATTATTATTATTATTAATAATATTTTGCAATGGATAAGCCTCTGGCCAACGAGAGAAACGGTCGACGATTGTTAGACAGTACTTGAAGCCGTTAGATTAAGGTAGTGGACAGACTATGTCTAAGTGGATGTGGCAAAATCGATATGATGGTGTTGCGATTCGTGACAATGGCGTAGAAGTGTGTCTGGCAACCTTGCATTGTTGGCACTTTTGACATTCCTTGGCCCATTTTCTACAATCTTTTCGCACGCCGGGCCATACAAATCTTTCACTCACTAAATGAGCTGTTGCTTTAGGTCCAGGGTGCTTAGGTTGTGTAACATGCAGAACACCTGGTAACGAAACTGAGTAGTAATGAACGGCCTTGGACTATTAAAGGAGGTGTCACAGTAAATCGGCAAGTTCGTACCTGGTACTTCCAATTTTTCAAGCTTAAGTGCCGAGCCATTTAATAACAGTTTTTGTAGCTCAATGTCAGTTTCTTGCGCCTGAGCTAAAGATTTGTAATCCATGGGCGTGGATAACTCCGTGACACGAGAAAGTGCATCTGCTACGATATTTTCTTTTCCAGCCACGTACTGGATATTCGTACTAAATTGACTTATAAAATCTAAATATCTGAATTGGCGTGGCGAGCAATTATCTCGAGGTGTGCAAAATGCGTATGTCAGAGGCTTGTGGTCCGTTAAGATGGAAAAAGGTCTTGCTTCTATCATGTGTCTGAAATGTCGAATGACTTCATAAATTGCTAGCAACTCCCGATCGTATGGACTATATTTTCTCTGTGACGAGTTTAGCTTCTTGGAAAAAAATGCTAGCGGTTGCCATTTTCCTCTTTTACGCTGTTGTAATACCGCTCCGATGGCTGTATCTGAAGCGTCTGTCTGTACCGACAATTCTGCGTGTAAATCGGGATGCACAAGCAGTGTTGCTTCGGAAAGACTGAGTTTACATTTCTCGAATATTTCGATCAGTTGTGCTGATGACGACAATCGACTAGAAGGTCGTAAAAACCCCAAAAAATCAACGCCAATTATGGGTTTAGATACGTCTGCTACAATAAATTGCCAGCTGTAAGCCTAAATCGAGTTGGATGGGTAAGTATCCATAAGTATGAATAATAGTTCCATTTGCAGCAAAAAGTTCGTATTTCGTCTTCGGTCTTGGTTCCCGTAGAGCAGACCGCGGGTAAACACATAAGTCGGATCCTGTATCTATGAGAAACTGTACTTTGGTTTTGCGGTCGGTAATAAATAGGCGGCCGGATGAAACAAGGCAGTCGTTTACCGCCACTATTGGCTGCCTTGATAGTTTTCCTCTTTAAAGCTGCAAGGTTGTGTGCATCTGTTTGCCTGTTTACCGAACCGATAATGGTACCAACAGTACGCTTGTTTTTTAGGCCTAGATGTTGAGCGTTGACGGGAACGGGAAGAACTGCGGACATAGTGTCTGTTATATGAGCGTGAGTTTCTGCGGAGCTCCATGACTTCGATGCTCATGGTTTCTAATCGTAGAGACATATCTGCTACCTGCTTATTTTTCTTTCTTGCGATGCAGATAACCGATGTATTAGTTCCGCTTTTAATTTATCATATTTTCCTGCTTCTGGAGGCGAGATTAATAAATCACGAACGTCCGCTGCGTACTGTGGTTCAAGCTGTGCCAACACATAATAAAACTTCGTGTCATCTTTCGTGATATTTGATAATATGAATTGGGCTTCGATTTGTGCAAACCATAATGCGGGGTCGTCGGAATTGAATGGTGGCACACGTACACCGACGCGGTATGTTTCTGCTGAATCTTCCATAGCTTCCTACTTAAATTGCGATCCACAATATCTTCTTGTTTGTTGTCGGGGTCACCTATGTAGGAACTAGAGTATTTGATGCAAATTAAAACGCCGAGATCAGAACAGATAATAATCTTTATTTCAAGAAAGGCAGGTGCTTATATAGGAGCCAAAACAAAAGACGTCGATCATACGATGTGGCGTGATTTAATGCGTTGGCCCAAGTGAAGGAGTATAAAATGTAATATTAATTAAAAATCAAAGAGCCGAAGGGAATTATTTTTGTAGAACAGTGCAACACGCAGATAGTTCAAAATCTTTTTCTTAGAAATCACTACAATTGTTCCTTCTGTATTTACCAAACTATAATTAAATCCCATCATTTAATATATTTTAACACATTTAATTTCACTCATGATAATTCTATGGAAAATACAATATACACCCATCGAATTAAGAACCTCCTCCTTTTTGCTGAACTTTACTTACTTTCACTACTTATTATTTCATAGTTACAACATCCCAATTTTTTACCTAAACTGATGACACGCAATCAATTAAGAAAAACATGAAAAAAACATATTTTTCCATACCCTTTTTATTCTTTTTTTTATGTGAAAAGTTGCCAAGAGAGCAGACGCTTCACCTGAGTTAAGTGAATACCGCCGCCCATGGACATATGCTATACCCGAGAGTTCCAGATGCGTTGTCAACCTATTGAAATTTGGGCTCCGGCCATCTGACTCACCAGACGAAAGCGAAAGTATTATACTTCCACTTTACGCCGGTCTTCTGTGAAGTCGTGGTACTTAGCCGGACCTATTAAATTTTTAGATCTTTAAGTTGTATGTTTTAACGGCTAACAAAAAATTCCGTTCTCCTATTAAATTTTTTAGGCAATTTTAAATACATAACAGAACATCAAGTAATTAGCAAAGAAAATTATAAATTACTATAATCAAAGATAAGCCCACTGTTGCTGCCGAGTTCCACATGCCTGATTTTTCAATAAAAATATTGGCTATTAGCCGATTATCTTGGACACTATCAGTCGTCGGTGATAAGATTTAACGTCGACTTTTGTCAAATATTTTGGTAGTTGCGGCAGTGTGTTGAAAGTGTAGAGTCCACTAATTCAACCGCATGCTTCTTCCAACGTATGTGTACACTGTGCATATGTTTCACAAGAAAAGAGGTTGGTCACAATACGACAACTCAAAAAATAGCCACAGAAAATGGCTGGTGGAAATTACGCTATGAGCGAGGTAAGGATACACTGAGTATTAATTTGCGATCTAAATGTTTATTGACGGGAAAATTTTGTTATTAACCGAATGAATACAAGATAGAATAAGTGGTTTAATAACGGAAAATCTTTTTAATGTTAAATGCATTTGCAGATGTAATCAACGTCCAAAATAAAAAAGTAAAGATTCATAGTAAAACTTCCGTTTTTCATATTAAAGTATTTGTTTTTATCATATTCATTAACGTTGAAAAGGATTAGATATGCTAGTTTTAATATCATATTTGAATGAAACTAAAATTTCTGCATATTATATTCATTTATTTGAATGTACAGTGTTTGGAATGTTTACTTTTAAAAATTATGAATAATAAAGCCTGTAGACGCCAAAGTAATATAAAAACAGGAGATTTTTATTTACAAAAAATGCAAATAATAATTATCTTAAGCTTAAGGACAATTTTCACTAATCAAATAAAACTTTTTTATAAAAATTAGTTTAGTGTATACTTCTATCGGTCTGAATGTATTTTGATTCTTTGAAGTTATGCTAAATGTGTATTGACTTTCTCTTCATCCAAAATTTATATTCATTTTCGTAACTTATTTGCACTTAAAAATAAACGGTTCAAGAATTTTCTTATTTGCAAAAAGTTCATAACCTATTCAAATCAACATTATGTTGCTTTTATTCATTCTGATATTGAACACAAGTAAGCGGCTATTCATCGACTCGTATCTTGGCTTATGGAAAACCTTAACACTAAATTATAAACTTAAAACGATAGAGCCATAATAGCTCAATGTCCTTTTTTTTTGTTTACGTGGGGGAAAGGCCTGCGGGGCGGGTATGCGTAATACCCGCCGTCACAGGGGCAAGAGCGGGCCATGTCGGTCTCGAACTGACTAAAACCCCCACGATGTCCAACTAGGCGCATATCGGCATCGCTGGCCGCCTCAGCAGCTTCTTCCTGGGGATCAACTCCCCTCTCCTCCAAGTAAGGCGCGCTGGAACATTCAGCGCACCTTCCTACTTGGCTCTTTTTTGGACCCCTCCGACTTCGCTGGCTATAGGCCATGGGAGCCAAGAGAGCTAGTCCCAATAAGCGGCAAGCCTCCCAGCCCCCAGCGGTGGACCTGGTCTGTGGCTCCGCCGCTCACCACGTTTCGACGGCGGAGGGTAGGGAGAACGGCACATTGCAGTACCGACTCTCCTCTCCCCCTGCGGCCCCAACACCACTGCAACGACGGTGTAGCCCTCTTTTTTTGTTTATGTGGGGGAAATAAACGATGGTGCAGCCCCACTGAGGCGCGGAGGATAGCAAGCGTGGCCAACGTAATACCGACACTCCTGTTCCCCCGCGACTCCTCCTCGGTAGCAGAAAACAGGGAGAGTGGCTCCGCCTCTACCACGCTCGACCTATCCCCTGCACCCTCCAGCACGCATCCAGAGTGAGCTCAATGAGCCCACTTGGAGCGGCCCTCTCGGGCCGGCCTCTCAGGCAGTGTGGATTCCTCTTACTTTCGCAGTGGGTGACCAAGCCACGACTACTAAGCCCCTCCGCCATGTCAAGGCGGGAACCCGGGCCGGAGGGGGATAGCTCAATGTCCTGGCCTACATGAACCTGATTAATTGTTAATTTTAAGTGCTAACTTATCACGTGCTCATCGGTGAAAGAAAACATCGTTAGGAAAGCATTGTTTCGAAATAATAATAAAAAAATATATTTCGACGATAATTAAAGTCTGCTCATGAGCAGTGGAGTCACGTGGTAGGCTATTCCCTCGTAACGTCTGTACAGAGGAGGTCTTTGGCCAGTAGTGGGACAAGTATAAGCTGATACTACTATAGTTTACATGATAATATTTTCACTTTTAAACTTAAACCAAACTCTTTGCAGCCTGAGGCTAATGGAAAATTACCAGCGCAGGATAGTTCATTGGTTGGAACACCAGAAAGAGCGTCGTGGGGTCGCCCGCTTGAATTTATACTAGCATGCCTCGGGTACGCGGTCGGACTGGGAAACGTCTGGCGTTTTCCGTATCTGTGTTACAGAAATGGTGGTGGTAAGCAAACTAGTGTCTATTCATTGGGTATTGTACATTCATTATCATCACTTTCCAATTAGTAAAATCTTAAAATAAGTTCAATAATTTTCTTAGTTCACTAGCCAAACAATCGGTGCATGTAATATTTTTTAGATTATTTAAGATCTATTATTGTCATATTCACTTATCTAAAAACATTCTTCTCGCGATAGCGATGAGAAATCAGGAGCAATTTACTATGACAAATTCACTGCTATTTAGCATTTTCATTATGTACTGGATGGATGCAGGCCGCTAACAACCGGTCGAAGTGGAAGTCAATGGGGGAGGCCTATGTTCAGCAGTGGACGTCCTACGGCTGATATGATGATGATGATGATTATGTACTGTACAATAACTGTGTGGTCCATGGTAATTTTGGTATTAAGTGGGCAATGATAATTATTTTATACTGGATATTTTATACGTACTTGTCGTCAAAAGTTGTCCAAGCACAGTGATAGCACACATATACACGTTTCTTTTACCATAACTCACTCACACATGTTTAATCATGTGAAAAAGATTGCATAATTAAAGCAGTAATAAAAAAGAGGGCGGCATGTGTATTTTTTTTATATCTGTTTTTAGTATTTGTAGATTTCAACTGTTTCACTGTCACGGTTCCTGAGATACAGCCTGGTGACAGACTGACATACAGATAGACAGCCGAGTCTTAGTAATCGGGTCGCGTTTTACCCTTTGACTACGGAACCCTAAAAACTAGAATAGGAGAGGCTTTTGTGGTATTACGACCCATTGAATTATCCTTAAATGATACGAACAAGATCTAGTAATCGGTGCATGATGTAATTATGGGATGTGACGTTTTCATTCTTTTAAAGACCAGCAAGGATTTCACTAGAGTTTTTATCGACAAGGCCTTAACTCCATGTACGTTATACCATATACGTTTCGTTCCAGGTGCCTTCTTAATACCATTTTTTCTGATGATGATTCTGATTGGCCTGCCACTGTTTTACCTGGAGCTCTATATAGGACAGTTTACAAGCTACGGTCCCTTGAAAGCATTCGCGGCTATAGGGCCTTTTTATACTGGCCTTGGATACTGTACGCTGGTTGTGATCAGCCTTATAAGCATTTACTACATGATCATAGTTGCGTGGACGCTGTTTTACACAATTGTGTCATTGGCCGGGAATTTGGATTGGGGATCGTGTGAAAATGAATTTAATACAAATTGTAAGTTTCCTTAATGTTTGCAATATTTGTGTGCGTTCAATTTTAAGTTGCCTTCCATTTTATTTTTGCTAAGCATTTAAATTGCCTACAAAATTAGTACCAATTACTTTTTTATGCGATACATGCGGGCTGACGGTTCATCCAATTTCAAATGATTTATGCCGCCCACGGGCATGCACAAACACATCAGGGGATGAAGTTACTACCGTCACCAGCCTTTAAAAAATGAGTGCAGGTTACCTGACTCAACAGACGAAAAGTGACAGTATGATACTGCCACTTCACGCCCTGTGAGCCGTTACCCCGAAATAGCCTGTAAGTAATTCGAGGAATATGAGAAGCTGCTTCATGGCCCTACCACAGTAAGATTTTATACAGCAGCATTTGTATATCTATATATGCATAATGTGTATAGATACGTAAACGATTCTTTTTATGTGCAAAGTTGCAAATGAGCGGACGGGCAAAGGTGAACCGCCGTCATGTACGCTACACAGTAAAAAATGACTACGATAAGTAAGAGGTGAACGAGTACGTTGAACAGTGATTGGTCAGAAAGTAGTCAGCTTGTTTCAGCAAGCTGGGTTGGGAAAATCTGTTTTTAAAGAATGCACTTCAGTGTTCCTTTTGATTCACCGGAGAAATTATGTAATACATATTATACATCTGATGTTTATCACCAGACGTATAATATTATGTTATCATATTAATAAAGGTGCTTTTAAAGTAGTTAGAAGTTGAGAGAAGGAGAAAAAGATGAAAATCGGAATTCGAAGAGAATTATCATAGAACTTAGAACGCTTAAAGTTTTATTATTAACTAACTAAACCCGGTCACGCCCCGCATGCCTTTTTTTTTTTATTTCCGTTTGAACTAAAGAATAAATAGTATATAAAATACTCATATTGTGAACACATATCGAGTCAAGTTAACTTTAATATCAAGTATAGTTTTTGAGTGTTGTCAACACACAGAAACATACGGAAACTAATTTTTTATAAATAAAATATAGAAAAACAATCAGTGTTTGGGTTTTAACAGTAATTACTTTACAAAATTTCACAGTTTGTTATAGTGGTGCGTACGATGCCGAATGCAGGGCTAACAACACTGGAGCATCGACAGATCTAACTTATTATTTTAGACGGTGTATGAGTATAGGAGAGATTTGTTTGAGTTCGGGATTCGAACCGTACGACGGCAAGTATTGCTTGAACGGAACAGAAACTATACCGTGGTACACCAATCTGAGAAGAACTATCGCAGCTGAAGAATACTATAAGTAAGCCAAAAGGAGATGTAGTAGACCATAACTTTTTTTATAACACAACTTAACTCTTTCTCGGGTTATTAATGTACAATTACGACAAGTCAAAATAAATGTCTTCATAAAGCAATTTAGCAAAACACCCCCAAAATGATGACACAATCTATAAGAATGTAGTCAATATTATCGATTTCTTTTTTATACAATTAAATCTCAACATATGAAAACATACGTGAGTTATGAGTAAAAATTATTATCATTGCTCGTTTTAATCTTTTATCAAACATTACTTAAATTTTTACAATATCTATATATAATAAAAATACCTTTATGACTAGAGCTAATATAACTTTTCAGTCTTTAAATAGCATACATATAAAGGTTTTTTTGTCAAACTCGTGGGTGGTCAAACCTATACGCAAATTTTAATACATTGATTAAAAACGTCCGACAATAGAGCTATATTAAATAAGCAATAAATTCAGTAGCAATAACATAATACATTACTTTTTTAAGAATGCACTTATAATTTTTAGTCATTTTTTTATGTTTTACCAAAGGAAACAGATAAATGTCTCATTCATCAGAAATGTCCTTTCAGCGAGCGTGTATTAGGTCGAGGCGATGCCACTTGGGAAAACTGGGGAACAATTCAGTGGCATCTTGTCGGATGCCTTTTCCTCTCTTGGTTTATCGCATTCCTCTGTGTTATTAAAGTAAGTGTATTTTATGCCTTTATACACATTATAATCATATGATTCTATTTATAACCATCTAAAGAATAATTGACTATTAAAAATGAAAATAAAAATCGTCCCCAAGCAATTAGAACAGAAAGTCAATGTTACAATATTACCTTTTCAGGGTGTGCAATCGGCAGGAAAGGTCGTGTACTTCACAGCTCTGTTCCCGTACGTTATGTTGACAGCTTTACTTATAAGAGGAGTCACTTTGGACGCCGCATTAGATGGGATCTTATTTTATTTATCACCTGATTGGAACACACTTTTAGAGGCGAGAGTTTGGGGTGATGCTGCTTCCCAGGTGTGTGCTTAATTCAAATTAAATATTCCTTTTAGTTTTTTCCTTTTATTTAATTACTGTTAATAAACTCAAACACTCATAAGTAGTGCCTAGATACATGAAATATTTATAAAAAACAACTCTTACGTTGAAGTTATTAGATGGAAAAGAATGACAATATTTTTTTAACATTTTCAACGAAATTAACGTTCTTAAAGTTAAAAGTAAAACAAGCTGCGTTAGCTAATTGCAGTTTTAATCTTAGTTCGTAAGTGTGCGATTTCGACACCAATTACAAATTCCAAACTTTCGCGACGATCATCAATCTTTCAAATAGATGAATTAACACTAAACGATCTTTATTTTGGAAGTAATGCTTTTTTAGAAATAAATGAGTTTATTTCAGATTGATAGGTTTGGCTGAAATTTTCTTAACCTTCGCTATTTTGTATTATCAATTATAATTTTTTAAGGAAAGACGGTGTGTAATTTTGCATTTCTTTTCTTGCCATCAGATTTTTTATTCCTTTGGAATAGCATGTGGATCTCTAGTCACTTTGGCTTCTTACAATAGTTTTTACAACAACTGTCATTTTGACACGGTCTTCGTTTGTTTTGCAAACTTTTTGACATCAGTATATGCGGGTTTCGCCATATTCTCCGTATTGGGATTTCAAGCTGATCTAATGGGAGTTAGCGTCGATGGTAAGTACTAATGAGTATTAATAACAAAAAAAAAATAAGAAAAAAATCTTTAATTTTAACGTTACCCTAAAAGCGAAAGCCTTTCTTTTGAAATTGTAAATTCCAAATTGAGACAGTATTACTCCATTATTACATTTAATGATTTAATTTATGACAATATAAAATATTCTCTATAGTGATTACATCATCGCAAATACTATTTACATCACGCTAAGAAGCTCACCATATTGCAACGATAAATAATTAATCTATAATTATTTACTATTGATGTATCACATCACCGCAAATAAATTTGTATTGGGGGGAACGTCATCAAAGTGATGATAAATTTGATAATTTTATACTGACAGATTAATTGACTTCCTTAACGGATATCTGTTTCAACTTTGATTTAAATGAGTTGATGTACTATTTTTTATTTATTTTATGTAAGAATAGGAAAAAGATAAAAAAACACCTCATTGACACGGAACATTTTCAAGATTTCAATTGACAATTACGATTTTTCCAACGACTTCTTTTCATTGTGTGTGTGTTTATTTAATCCCTTAATGCATGTACTGCTGTGTTATGGCAAATTTATTGTTTTAATGCTAAATAAATAATTATACTACATATTAAAACTGCTTCAATCCGTTTGTACTTTTGTACCAACTCATTGAAACATCATCATAATTATATATTTACTAGCGAGGCGCCCCGGCTTCGCACGGGTACATAAAAACCTTCCTCTATATATTATTATCTGTTGAATCACTCTATCTAGTTAAAAAAACCGCATCAAGATCCGTTGTATAGTTTTAAAGATCTCAGCATACATAGGGACAGACAGACAGCGGGGCGACTTTGTTATACTATGTAGTAAATTGTAAATTTGCATACAGATTTTCAATAGACTTCGATTCTGTTTGATTTAAGAAAAAAAACGTTAAAGGTTTCATATGTGCTACGCTTATATGCATAGCGATTTATTTTGTTGTGTACAAATCTGAAAGTACAGCGTTGATTTGCTCAAGTTGATTAATCCAAGCAAATTGCATGCAGGCGTGGGCCAAAGCAAACATGTTGCCAGTATCAGTTGAACTGGATAAAGCGTGTTCCATTCTCAGGCAATACGTTAGCTTAAAAAATCATATAATTATAAAATCTAAGCAGATAATTGTACCACCTTTTGCATTTAATAATTATCTAAACTTTAAATTATGTCCTTCATTTGTTTAAAGTTAATATTCTTTCCAAACGGATCATCCTCCTTAGTGTAGATAGTGTGAAGAATTTTTTCTTTTTCTTTCTTTTTTTATGTCCTCGTAGAAATTATGTTGGAGTGTATTGTTGGTCTTTTATTGATGGATATTTGTTTACAGTTTAAATAATTTTTGGAACACCCCGTTTCATCATATGGACGTATTGAATCGTGCACAATCGTCGATTGATCCGCGAGTACGGTATCCCTGTTGATTTCGTTCCGTAACAACGTATGTTTGATTTTCAGGCGGGAGATAATGGATTGGGTCAACTGTACACAGTAACAGGCCGTTATTAATAAGACGGAACAGTCTCGCAGTATCGCTTAGCATAAATAACAAAAGTCAATATTTTTACAGAAGCGTTGTAAAGCATGTCGCTAGTATAGCTTTTTGTATTAGGTCTCAATAAATGTAGAACTAGCCACCCGTCAGTATAATGTACATTGTGATTGTCGTTATAGGTGCCCACTTTTTTAAAGGTTGGCAACGCATCGGCCGTCAGATAACATCTAGTGTCCGACGCTCGTTTACCAACTTTTAACTTAAAAAAGTAGTGGCTCATTCTACAAAAAAAAATTATTAAAAAAGAATTTTTCGGTCGTTTTTTTTTTCAGGTTTCAACCATAAATTGCAAAATGTTATAAGTATTGCATTCTACATGCAGTATGCAATCTATTACATGTTTACAATATTTTTTTCATTATCATCTTGCGACAGAATCATCAACTCATCAACAACACATGATAAAGAATTTAAAAATATAAATATGTGCGTAGGTTTTATTAAGTTGTTTTAATTTCTTCAATTATTGTCAGAAGCATTTAAAACACTAACATCACTACATAGTAAATGAAACTAATTTTACGGATTTATCGCGTTTATTTTTAATTTGAGTTCCCGACGTTTCGGGACCACCATCGGGACTACCATCAGCTTGGGATCCTATCATCAATAAAATTAAATCTAAGCCCAAAAGAACCACTACTGCAAGACAAGATACAATTAGCTCCCTCTGCATAGATCGGACACAAAATCAATAATACAAAAACTGACGGTAGCCCGGGATAACTTTGACAATCAGACGTCTAACACCTCAGTCTGTCCCGTGACCATGAACGCTATAAAGGGTTCGAAACGTCGGGAACTTAAATTAAAAATAAACGCGATAAATCCGTAAAATTAGTTTCATTCATAATGTGTAATCGCGTAAATACAAGAAATTATTATCACTACATAGTATAAAACAAAGTCGTCCCGCTGTCTGTCTGTCCATACGTATGCTTAGATCTTTAAAACTACGCAACGGATCTTGATGCGGTTTTTTTTACTAGATAAAGTGATTCAAGAGGCAGGTTTATATGTATAATACATTGCGCCCGTGTGAAGCCGGGGCGGGTCGCTAGTATAATATAAATATATGTTAATTCTAACAGTATATTCATCCAAACATACGGATTTTGCCCTGAGAAACTAACATGGTATTTCCGCTCTCTGATAATTTTGTTTACCTAATACCTAAATAAACTACCTAGCTAAATCTTCTTTTTAATAAAGTTTATCTAGTTATCTTTTTCTGCGTGATACGTAATGTTATTGGCGAACCTGTGGATCATAACTAACGGCCTCATAATATGGAGTTATCACGTGATAAAATTCAATATTGACATTGCCCTTAATCTGTACCTGCTGTTATTAACTCTATTAGATACATCAAAGCACGTTTCACGATTGATTAATTTTGGCCGCATTACACTAAAAAAACAATTATTCAATCTTGCGAGAAAACGAGTTTTATGTTTAAACTGAATAGTTATACCAAAACAACAAGTTTCTGCAAGATATTTTGTTGCTATTTCTCTATAATAAAAAAGTTTAGAATCATCACTAATACGCGTTAATTTACATTTACACAAATAAATTTTTAGTATTTTGATCTTCGGTGGTCTCGTTTAACAAATGTTGGTAAAACATCTGCAAATCCTCAGGAATAGTAGATGTTCATAGGTGGCAGTAACAACTTCACATTTGAACAGTTTGCACACTTTCACTACCCTTAAGCATGTAGTAGTACGCATATTTTTTTAAAGTCCTCAAATATATAAGAACGATTCTTGCAAATATATAGTGCTATTAAGAAATGTTTATGTGTAACTTATAGAAGATTAAATTTCGTTTAAAGGTTATATTTTATTATTACCGTCAACGTAGGATAGCTACACAGCCACCGGCACAATTTTTATATACAGTATGGAATCTACTTTATCTCTGTTTATTACATTTAGGTTAAAAGTTGAGGCAAGCGAAAGAATGTTTTTGGAGTTCTTTCGGCGAGTTTGAAAAAACAATAAAAGTAAAATTTTTACGATACGCGTGCACAGCCAAAGTCAAAAAGCAAAATGACGGAGTTGGTTGTAAAGCGACCAACTTTACAGTATTATCATAGCAAGCAATAACAAGTTTTTGACATTTATCTATAATACCATGTTATTTAATTTTTATTTTAACGTTACCAACAGAATTTAAAAACAAAGTGTACTGGCACATTAGATAAAAATTTTACTTTTTGTACGTTAAAGAAGTATATATTTTTTTAAATGTTGCATATTAATAATAATTGTTACACTGTTTATGAACTTATGCTTATAGTGTTTTGTTGATTTCTTCTTATATTTAAACTGTTTTGCTTCAGACGTAGCTGAACAAGGTCCTGGATTAGCGTTCGTTGCGTATCCCGAAGCTCTGCTTCAGATGCCGATACCCCAATTCTGGTCGATATTGTTCTTCTTGATGCTGTTCATACTCGGACTCGGTAGCCAATTCGCAGGTATAGAGGCTATAAATACAGCAATAGTTGACCAATGGCCTCAGTTCAGAAGGAGGTACTGGATGGTGGGTTTGTTTTATTGTTTTTAAATTACAACTGAATAGGATTTATATTGATTAGTTTTTTTAATGACTTCTTGTCTTTGTGCCAACTGTATTACCAAACTGTACATGGCGTACAAGTATCTTTAAATTAAAAAATCATCTATTAAGTAAATAACTTAGGACATGTACTACAAATTAAAAATATAGATACGAGAAAGTAATTATTGATTCATATCGTTTAAGACCTTTGATCAGATATTTCTTTATAAAGAACCTTCATCATGATAATTTCTTGTATTTACGCGATTACACTTATAAATGAAACTAATTTTACGGATTTATCGCGTTTATTTTAATTTTATTTTAACGTTACCAACAGAATTTAAAAACAAAGTGTACTGGCACATTAGATAAAAATTTTACTTTTTGTACGTTAAAGAAGTATATATTTTTTTAAATGTTGCATATTAATAATAATTGTTACACTGTTTATGAACTTATGCTTATAGTGTTTTGTTGATTTCTTCTTATATTTAAACTGTTTTGCTTCAGACGTAGCTGAACAAGGTCCTGGATTAGCGTTCGTTGCGTATCCCGAAGCTCTGCTTCAGATGCCGATACCCCAATTCTGGTCGATATTGTTCTTCTTGATGCTGTTCATACTCGGACTCGGTAGCCAATTCGCAGGTATAGAGGCTATAAATACAGCAATAGTTGACCAATGGCCTCAGTTCAGGAAGGAGGTACTGGATGGTGGGTTTGTTTTATTGTTTTTAAATTACAACTGAATAGGATTTATATTGATTAGTTTTTTAATGACTTCTTGTCTTTGTGCCAACTGTATTACCAAACTGTACATGGCGTACAAGTATCTTTAAATGAAAAAATCATCTATTAAGTAAATAACTTAGGACATGTACTACAAATTAAAAATATAGATACGAGAAAGTAATTATTGATTCATATCGTTTAAGACCTTTGATCAGATATTTCTTTATAAAGAACCTTCATCATGATAATTTCTTGTATTTACGCGATTACACATTATAAATGAAACTAATTTTACGGATTTATCGCGTTTATTTTTAATTTTAATTCCCGACTTTTCGAACCCTTTACAGCGTTCATGGTCACGGGACAGACTGAGGCGTTAGATGTCTGATTATCATAGCTAACCCGGGTTACCGTCAGTTAAATTATTAATTTTGTGCCTAGATCGGACAAAAAATTATGTCCGGTCCGATCCCGTGACCATGAACGCTGTAAAGAGTTCGAAATATCGGGAATTAAAATTAAAAATAAACGCGATAAATCCGTAAAATTAGTTTCATTTATAGAATCTTAATCAGTTAAAAGATGCGTGTAAAAGTTAAATACAGGTAAGTAGGTCCTCAATTTTAATGTCATACAGATTCGGCCGTATTGCACACTCACATAAGAAATAAAATAATCATTATTATTGCAGGTCACCGCATTTACGTGTTTCACTTGCTTTATTCTCGGGATACCGATGTGCTTCAGCGGGGGAGTTTACCTGTTTACATTAATGGATTGGAACACTGCATCCTGGGCCATTCTTTTGATCGGCATGGCAGAGGTAATTGTCTTTCCTATTCTTACCTTCAATATCCCTTATAACAAAACTCCCGTACGAAGGCGACAGATTGTCGATCATATACCAGACCGGCATAAACGCGACCGTTCACAAAACGCCTGCGCTACGTTCTCATCGATCCAGACGAGGAAAAAGAACGTCGAACCTACGAAGGATCCCGCTAGATAAGAATTTACTAGGAGACATTTCCAACAAGCCCGAGGGCTGTATCGACACACATATGTAGATTTTGGTATACACACACGCTAAAACACAACCAACCGACGATTGGTCCACACCCAATCGATGACCAATAGGAGACATTCTTTCTGTTAAATGAATAAAAATAAAATGAAGCAAGCATGAGCAAATGCGCGGCCCTAATCAACCGTGGAGAGCCATATCAAATATGTGGGATCTAGCTAGCCCACGAATTCTTCGTTCGATGAAGTGATAGTAGTCTACGTAGTAGTAGTCTTCAACGAACCTTCGTAGGGCCATGCAACAGTCTTCGCTGTTGCACTAATGGGCAAGTTCGTCAGGGTAAGTACCACGACCTCACAGAAGACCGGCGTGAAGTGGAAGTGTTATACTTATGCGTTTCGTTTGATGAGTGAAGTAGCCGGGGACCACTTAATTAAAAGGCGGCAACGTATCTGCAACCCCCTGGGTGTTGTAAATGTCAATGCGCAGCCGGAGTCCAGTTTATTATAAGGTGTCAACGCATTTGAAACCCTACTGGTGTTGCAAATGGCCATGAGTGGTGGTTATCACTTAACATCAGTTGAACCATCAGCTCACTTGCCACCTTCTGACATAAAACAATACTAACCATTCAATGATCCAAGATATGGGGTTGATTGAGTTATAAACATAGATACAGACATGTAGTTAGCCATCCAAGCATCCTTCTCCTCACAACATATAATTTATATATGTATCATCGATTGTGTTACGAACTTAATCTTTGCAGCTATGGTAGAGCCGCAAGAGCGGTGCCGTGTCACGAATGGGCAAGCTCATCCGGGGAAGTACCTCAGTCTCGCAGAGAACCGTCGTGGAATGGAAGTATGATGCTTTCAGATTTCGTCTGAAGAGTGACGTAATCTAGCCCTCTTATGTTTTAGAGTTTAACAAAGCAACTGCAACGTCTTGGTAATTATTTAAAATTAGATAAACCGCCTGCTCGATTAACAACTTTTTATATGAAAACAATTAAAGAATGTATAAGAATACAAACATAAAGAAAAGTTATTAATATACATAAACATTTAGAAGAAGGGTAAAACGGGCCAGCTTGTGAAAGGTCTTTTCTATTATTGAGATCGATGAATAGCGGATGATAACATTATTTCATATATTTTCTAAAATTTTAGAGCATCGCAGTTGCTTGGACCTATGGGATCAATCGAGCAATGAATGACCTGGCATCGATGAATATGAAACTGAACAAAGTACTGAGATTTTACTGGAAAGCAGCCTGGACTGTGACTGTACCGATAGCAAGTCTGGTAATTTTACTCAAATGTTTATTTATCGAAAAGAAGACAGTTTCGGACGAACATTTGAGAGATTTTCTTTATACCAATCTATGTCTTCAATCCTAACTAGTGTCTTACATGCAAACCTAATTTAAATTTAATGGCGGAGACATTATTATCTTATATTATTATTATTCATTTATTATTTTCTTTTTATCATCCTGTATCTTTCGTTACGATTATTTGCTCTTCCTTTGGTCTTCTTTCACCATACTTCTTACAACATTCAGATAAGTGACAAATATGTTTGATTTTTTGTTAAAATTCTCTCCCCGCGGGTTTAAGAATAATTTTATAAAATTAAGTTTTTGGGGAATTTTAAATTTAAACAAATGTATACTGAAGCAATCGCAGTAATTTACGTCTCTTTTAAAACGTATGTAATGGCATGAGCTACCCACTGTTGTCGATTTAGATAACTTCTTATGCTATATTTTGGTCTGTGATAAGGAAACCTCATTAGGTGTACAGATATCGATATTGATATAAATCGCGATAACGATTAATCCGTGCTTAGCTCTGTTACTACGTGTTTGACAAAGGTGGTTACATCATTTTTTTAATAACGGTCAGACAAAGCATCCCTGTAATATGATCGTTAAATTACCTTTACAATAGACTACCTAACTAACTAAGATCATGTCAATCAGTATGTTTTTAAAATAATAACTTATTAATCATCCTCTTGAATTTACTTAAAAACTAACAAATGACTTTTATATCATTAGAAAATAATCAGCGAGTACACATAAAAAGAAAACAGAAAAGCAGCTTTGCGTTTTGTTAAAGTAGGATATATAGAAATGATGTAAGCTCTACTGCAATTAAACAGTTTCCTGTTCCAATATTCCCTCTTTAACTTTAAGCCTTATCATAATTATGTTATTATTTGCGCTCTCTCTCAAATTTATATGACTAAACGATTTCATAAAACTAGTATTAATATTTATGTTTTCTGTAAAATGACATCAAACATCTTCAAAAAACTCTCCGCACTAAACACTTTATTATAATACTAAATCCAATATAATCAAATCTTGAAAACGTAACCGATATAACACGTAACCTCATATTAACATAATTTAACAATCTAAAATTGTGATCCAAATGAAATTAAAGTGGTGGTCCCATTCGGAACAAAACCCTTAAATTGATAACCTCCTTCTTTTTGTAGTCGGTTAAAAACAATGGAATTTTAATATAAGAGTTGACTGAGTTTTTCATATTTCCTTCCAGTGTATTATTTCCGTTTTTAGAATGTTTTGCAATAAATAACCACAGCTAGGGAATGAATTAAGTTGTTTGATTTCATAAGAATTATTAGACAGAATGATAATCCAGAGGCGGCCAGATTGTCATTTAAAAAACATTGTCTCCTGATTGAGTCACACATAAAGTAGGTATTTTATTTGTAAAATTATGTTTCAGGGTGTACTAATTTTCATATTTTCCGACTGGGCACCCCCATCTTACGAAGATTATGTATTTCCTTTATTTGCTGACCTCCTAGGGTGGGCTATTGGACTGTCAACATTAGTCCTATTTCCTGTGGGTGTTTGTTGGGCGTTTAGCAAAGGATACGTAAGTTTCTTCAAACAAGCTTTTATGATCTAAAGACCCTATTAAAATGTGTACAAAAACTCAAAAATAGACCCTATTTTTAATTTTGTTTCAAATAAATTATAACCACACTGTTACTGCTACCATACATTTTGTAATAACAAAAACATGACATGCAATAATAGTTGATATAACTCGCCGAAATAACTATTTACACCATTTTATTATTTACTAGAATTTTTCAATACTTTTGGTAATAAGTGTCCTTTCTCCTTAAACCAGGGTAACTCCTTTCCTTCAAGTAGAGTCATAAATAACGCAATAAGTGAGTACCGAGTAATATAAACTGGGCCTAGCCTTAAATGTATTCAATATCTCTTCATTTTAAAGTGAAAATTTACTTGATTGTGATGGTCATCTTATATAGCGCTTCTTCAGCACACAAACAATATAAGCATACAGACTCGTTCAGAGACAAGGTGGACAGACCTAACGATATTAATGAAACCTTTATAAGTATTATACATTTTCCTATTATTCGTCTATTAGAAATGTTGAAAGGATATGAATGGTCATGTCGACATATGTTTTGTTTTGCAGCGAGGTAAAGAACTGTTCACGCCAACTGAAAAATGGAAACCATCATCGAAATCATTGTCAAGTCCCAACACAACTACATCTGAAACAAATCAGCAGACAACTTACGAAAATTTGGGCTACATGTAGTTCTCAAGCTGCAATGACGCAGCAACCTACTAATAAAGTTTATTATTTTTTTAAGCATATCTTTTTTCAATATCTATTTGTGCATACAGATTTTTGGCTATTCTCTGTTGTTGTTTTGGTGTGGTGTATTTAATTGAACAGCAAAAATAATCAATCGAAGTCTGTACTGAAAACTACACATTTAAGATTCCATGGAAACAAAGGGATCGATAAATCTAACATTAAGTTACGTGATGTGTAATAACCAGTTTTGTATGGGGACACGCGCTAACCATTTAAAAATATGAAATACGAATATATAAGACGTAAAATAAATCATAAAGTAGCAAATCATTTTTGTACATTCAGCAGCAACAAAGGGATTTTCCCTTTGAAAAGCTTCATATTTTTATGAATAAGTCAGTCTGACATTACTACTTAGCAGAAAAAATATTATAGTAATTAATAATGTTAGGCTTATATACATGCAGATACGAATTAAAACGCATTACCTATATTAGAGTAGTAGTTTACTCATATCTACGTGACAATTAATCTCAGTTAATCAAATCATTATTTTTTTTTGATTAAAAATAACACAAAATGAAACTATAACAAAAACTGAACAAGGGCTACTTAAAATTAAAAATGTTATGGACATTTTTCGGGAAAAAGCATAGCAGAAATATTCGTTATTTTGCGTTGGCGTTGTATGGTTGTTATTGTTCCAATAGATCTGCTGCTATCATAAATGTGAACTGTGATCATTTTCTTATATATATGTAATTTATATCAGTATAAAATTATTGTATTTTTTATATGAACCCTTTATTTCTTTTAAAGTGAAACCTTTAGAGCGTGTTTTGGACCATATTTTTAAACATGTAGATAGAGGCTTCCAAAAGGATTTACAAAAATTTCCATATATCTTTCATTCCTTAATAAATAAGTTGAAGTGAATTGATGTGTTATTTCTTTTTCATTATATGCGTTTTATTTATTTTTAAAGGTTTATTTATTTGAAGAACACAAGTTTAAAGTGAAAGTTTTTCTTAGTGGTAAAAAATCATCTATAATTAAGCCTAGGCGAAACAATTGGTGTTTGGACTGTTGTCTTGAGGTGTTAATTAATAATAAGGTAGGCACTGATTCAATAAAGAAAGATTTATTACAATAATTACCTATATTAAGAAACTATCGCAATATGAGAAACAAGTGATCAGAGTGTGGTGCGTGCAGCTCGCGCCCGCGCCTTCCTCTCGCTTGTCGCAACAATTGGTCAGCTTAATTTATTTATTACTAGCTGATGCCCGCGAAAAGACAGATATACATAAAATATGTATATAAATTATAGCCTGTGTTATTCTGATGTCTAAGCTAATATAGCTTTGTATAATTTCATTAAAATCCATTCAGTACTATTTGCGTGAAAGAGTAACAAACATCCATCCATACATACAAACTTTCGTGTTTATAATATTAGTAAGGATATTTCTTCAATTCAATTCGAATCAGCTTAAATTCGAAGCTGACTTAAAAATTAAAAGCACAGCATTTGGATAAAAGTACGATCGCCTACAAACTGCTAACAGGCTAAGATAAGTTAACAATGTTTCAGACGGCATGCGTATGATATGCGGTCAGATAATTAAGAAATGAAAAAACCACATCCCATTAACGTTTTAGAAGCTAGGAAGCTCAGTGAAATATTAAGAATATTATTTAATAATATTTGCGTAATCTGGTAAACTTCTATAAGAAGAGCTTGTTACTAGTAATATTATCATACCATCAAATCTCAATAAAATAAATAGAAAGATCTAAAATACTTATGACTATAACTTGCCAAAAAACTTTTATGGAACCTGCCACCGGATCGGGCATCCAGAGTCTGTCCCGGTCACACAAACGTGTACCCACTAAAACCCACGATTCCCTTTTCTGGGTACATATTCTTCAGGTGCTGAGACACAAAATCCCGCCTCATGGTGATGTAACGGTGATTAGCACAGCACCCCTAACGAGCCGTATTCTTAGCTGCTCACCGGCCGCGTATTCAGTGCCTCCCTTAATCTCTCCGCGGGCCTTCTGAGTGATAACATCCTCGCAATATGCGAGAACAGTAACTTTAACACAGTGAATCGGTGTCGTTTCGTTACCAACTTCACGATGTCGCTTATAGATGTCGCGCATTTTAAAAAATTAATTCTCATCATTTTCCCAAACGCGCCTAAGGAAGTATAACGTCAAAAATACATAAATGACACCATATTATTTACTTATCTGTCATGACTAGGAAACGTAATAAAAGAACTTCATAAATAACTACTTACTAAAGGATTTCACCAAAATAGCGCCAGTCATTTATCAGGAGACGGGTGTGCCGTCGAGAGTTAATACTGAGTGACATGCGACGGGATTCCACCATATAGGGCTTTTGTTAACGAGCTTGGAGCTCTTCCTGTTAAGACGTTGCGATATAGGTTACCCCATTTTATATTTTCGGTGATCTTAATATATTAATCGCAAACGTGACCTAACATCACTTTCATTATCATTTTTGCTAAAGATGATTTTAAACGTTTATCGCGTACCACGGAGCATTATGGTGGCACCTCTAAATGTTGTACAGTTATTAACCCTACATATAAACATTAAAATATGTAGGAAAAGTACGAAAAGGTTGTCGCCGCTGTGGGAATCGAACCCACGTCTTCGGCATTCGCGGCCTGACGAAGACGTGGCTTAAGTGCAAAGATTAGCACTATAAAAAAAATTAAATTTCTAAAAAGCATTGGCGACATCTTCTAATTATCGTTGTAATCTTCGAATTATCGTTGTAAAACGATATTCGAAATTGTTTGTATGCTGGAAAGGATATAACAAGATGCACCAAGCAGTGTTTCAAATGCTAAAAAACAATGTAGATAAAAGACGTTAAGATTTTTGTCGGTGTGGCAATCAGCCATTTAGCTTAGTGGTTAAAGCGTCAGGCTGCGAATGCCGAAGACGTGGGTTTTCTGGCGACAATCTTTTTCATACTTTTTCTACATATTTTAATGTTCAATCTTAAATGCAAAGATTAGCACTATAAAAAATTAGATTTCCAACATATAAATTTCAGTCCTGTACGCTCGTCAAAACAGGGAGTGAATGTCAAAACTAATTTATTTGCTAAATAACATATAAATATTTTAAAAACTCCATAGTTCGTTTTGTAAAATATAATTTTTTACATAATTACTAATTGGCAGTAATTAATGAAATATTGGCAAAAGTCAGCCAAATGTACTATTACTTCATACAGCTTACAATTGGCTAACTCTACGACTGTAGGTCCTATTTCCTCTAGGAATATTGATGCTACTCTACCGTAAAGTGACTGCGTGCATGTTGATGAGAACGCTATGTGGATGGACGTTCGCTGCTTAAAAAAGTGGACTACGAAGACATTGAAATAGTCGAGACTGAAAATTTCCGACTTAGCAATTTGTTGCCAAAGCTAACTCGATCTACGGTGTACAAGAGATACATTACTGACTGGTACTAAAATAAGTTTCACACGAAATGTGCAAAGAAGTTTTTTTTTATATAGCTACTATTTTTTTTTTTTTCAAAAATAATAACGGACCTCATGAAACATATACGATAGATATTAATTTATTGCTAAATAAACCAGACAATAAAAAAAAAGTTTCTCTTTCTATTAAAACTAGGGTGGTAGTTGTTTTGAGCAAAGGATTGTTTTTATAAAACTATATTCTTTTAACAAGACATCTAGAGAAAAAATTATAACCGTGAAAAGTTTGTACAATTTTCTATCGAGCAAATGGCTGCAAAGTAACTTGATCAAATATTAAAAGAGCACACCAACCCAATTTCGCGCAATCAATTCTGGTCGTCTCAGGGGCAATAACAAACACTACCTTTCGAATACGCTACATATTATCCAATAAATTGCAGTTTACATTTTCATGGCTGAAACGTTATGATTCGGCAAAATGTATATACGCTTCACGCTAAAACCGCGACCAATAAATCATCAAACTTTCAATTTACTTTGCATGCAAAATTTTTATAACTGATATGTTACAATATTACGTACATTAAAGTTAGTTTTATTTGAATAACATATGTCAATTATTAATAAAGTATAGTTTTGCCTATAATTTGCCCATTTTTACTTTTCTTTAAAATGGCTTGGAATTATTGTTATGCTTTTCATTTCTAATATTTTTTGAGTAAAGGCTATTGAAGTTTAATATTTTTCTTTGTTCATTAATTATTCTATTAGAACGGTTTGTCGGCCAAATTCCACAGTCAGTTGATGCGTTTACAAAGTTGAACTTTACGTAAAAGTTTAACTTGTAATATAAGATGCTAAGGAAACCATGACATTAGGCGATGAATTATGAATGTCGTTCATATCTGTGAGAGCATAATAATCTTTTTTTTTTCTTTAAAAAAAAAATGCCCTTAACATAACATTATCCTGTGTAGTAAGGACGTTTTACATATGTAAATTTCACGCGGACCAACTGCCAGATCAGAAAATAGTATCTTTCGGTTGGGAATTTGGATGACCGAGGAAACTCACCACCATCAATCCCCCAGAGCGACGTTACGATGCCGGAGGTAAAATTCCGGCAAAGTGCAGTTCGCAAAGCACTTCATTCCTTGGACATTCACAAGTCGAGTGGGCCCAATGGCATCCCTCCGATCGTGTTACAGACATGTGCTCCAGAGTTGGCGCCGATTTTAACGCGTCTTTTCCGGCACTCCTATACTTTAGGCGTAGTCCCGAAATCATGGAAGGCCGCGTTAGTGCACCCGATCCCTAAAAAAGGCAACCGCTCTGATCCGTTCAAGTACAGGCCAATAGTCATCACCTCCGTGTTCTCCAAGATAATGGAGTCTGTTATCAACGGCCAGCTCCTGCGGTGCCTAGAGGAGCACCGGCTGATTAGCGAACGCCAGTATGGCTTTCGTCGGGGTTCCGGTGACCGGGTCGCTCAGCC